CTTTAGAAACAATCAAGTGCTATCAAAAGATTTAGGAAAAACCAAAGAAAACCTAGATGTCTAACAGTAGGGGATTGGTTAAATAAATTACAGCACATACAAAAAATGGAATAACAATATATAGGTATACCTCATTTTATTGTGCTTCTCGTTATTGGACTTTGCAGATACTACATTTTTTGCAGATTGAGGGTTTGTGGCAACCCTGCATAAAGCAAGTCTATTGGCATCATTTTCCCAGTGTCATGTGCTCACTTCTTGTCTCTGTGTCACATTTTGGTCATTCTCACAATATTGCAAACTCTCCATTATTGCTATATCTCTGATGGTGATCTGTTATCAGCGATCCTTGATGTTACTATTGTAATTGATTTGAGGCATTATGAATCATGCCCATGTAAAACAGAGAACTTAGTCGAGAAATATTTATGTGTTCTGATTGCTTCATGGACCAGCTGTTCCCCCATCTCTCTCCCTCTCTTCAGGCCTCCCTATTCCCTGAGACACAACAATATTGAAGTTAGGCCAATTGATAAAATGACAATGGTCCCTAAGTGTTCCAGTGAAAGGAAGAGTCACACATCCTCACTTTAAATCAAAAGCTAGAAATGAGTAAGCTTAGTGAGGAAAGCGTGTTTAAAGCTGAGACAGGCCAAGAGCTAGGCCTCTTACACCAAATTCAAGACAAGTTGTGAATACAAAGAAAAAGTTCTTGAAGGAAATTAAAAGTGCTACTCCAGTGATCACAAGAATGATAAGAAAATAAAATAACTACTTACTAAAACAGAAAGTTGGCTGGGAGCTGTGGCTCAAGCCTGTAATCCCAGCACTTTGGGAGGTGGAGGCGAGAGGATTGCCTGAGCTCAGGGGTTTGAGACCAGCCTGAGCAATATAGCAAGACCTCGTCTCTACAATAAAATTAAAAAATAATAATAATAAAAAATTAGCCAGGCATGGTGGCACATGCCTGTGGTTCCAGCTACTTGGAAGGCTGAGGTGGAAGGATCACCTGAGCCCAGCAGGTCGAGGCAGCGGTGGCCATGAGCATGCCACTGCACTCCACTGTATTCCAGCCTGGGTGACAGAGTGAGATTCAGACTCAAAACAAACAAACAAACCCAGAAAGTTTTAGTGATCTAAAGAGAAGATCAAACCAGCATGATTCCTTTAAGTCAAGACTGAATCCAGAACAAAGTTCTAACTATCTTCAGTTCTATGAAGGCTGACAGAGCTGAGGAACATACAGGAAACAAGTTTAAAGTGAATACAGATGGTGCCATGAAGTTTAAGGAAATAATTTGTCTCCGTAACATAAAAGGGCCAGGTGAAGCTGCAAGAGCTGATGGAGAAGATGCAACAAGTTATCCAGAAGATCCAGCCAAGATAATTGATGAAGGTGGCTACACTAAACAACAGATTTTTTTTTTTTTTTTTGAGTTGGAGTCTCACTCTCTCGCCCAGACTGGAGTGCAGTGGCCGCTCCCGGCCACCGCAGCCTCGACCTGCTGGGCTCTGGCGATCCTTCTCTGTAGCCGGAATTACAGGCATGCGCTACCACGCCCGGCTGATTTTTGATTTATTGTAGAGATGAGGTCTTGCTGCCCAGGCGGGTCTCAAACCCGCGGGCTCAGGCAATCCACTCACCTCAGCCTCCCAAAGGTGTGGGATTACAGGCTGAGCCATCGAGCCCGGCAGCAACAGATTTTTAATGCAGATGAAATAGACTTCTCTTGGGAGAAGATGACATATAGGACTTTCCAAGCTACAGAGGAAAAGTCAATGTCTGGCTTTAAAGCTTCAAAGGACAGACTGATACTCTTGTTAGGAGTTAATGCAGTTTGTTGAAGCCAGTGCTCATTTACCTAGGGCTCTTAAGAGTCATGCTAAATACATTCTGTCTGTTCTCTTGACAACACGTCTGTTTACAGCATGGATTATTGAATATTTTAAGCCCACTTTTAAGACCTACTGCTCAGAGAAAAAGATTACTTTCAATATATTACTGCTTATAGACAATGTACCTTGTCACCCAAGAGCTCTGATGGAAACCTGCAAGGAGATGAATGTTGTTTTTGTGCCTGCTAACACTACATTCATTCTGCAGAACATGGATCAAAGAGTAATTTTGACTCTCAAGTCTTATTATTATTATTTTTTGAGTTGGAGTCTCTTACTCTGTCGCCCAGGCTGGAGTGCAGTGGCATGCTCATGGCCACTGCAACCTCTACCAGTTGGGCTCAGGCAATCCTTCTGCCTCACAAAGAATGTGTCCCATAGGTTCCTATTTAAACACATAGATACACACACATACATACACACAAACACTCCATGGGGTGAGTCTAGGTTTTGTGATGTTTAAGCTTATAAAATTTTGAGTGCTTTATTCAAGGAAAGGAATGCAAAATTACTACTACAATTTAGGCTCAAAAATGAATGTATATTTAGAACAAGAAATTATAGCAATGAAGTTCGTACACAGATTTGTCCCTAAGTAGATTTGTTCTGAGTAGATTTGTTCCTATCCACAGGGGCTGGATGGCTGAGGGGTCAACAGTGTACACTTTGAGAATTGAGAATTTTCCTTTTTAAGTTGAAATTTTGGCACTGTGTAAAATAAAGAGCCCAAGAAGAGCCATTCTTGGATATGAGATCTCCCACACACCTTCCACTTACGAGTTTTCTGACCTGGGAAAAGCAACTTAAGCTCATTCTCTTTATCAATAAAATGGGCGCAAGAATAATATCTCCCTAGTGCTGAAGGGGAACTAAGTATGTTAACACATGCAAAGGGTTTTTACACAGCACTGGGTGCAAAGCAGGGACCTCAGCTTCCTTCTACAGATGAGAAAACTGAATACAGAGATGGAGGGCTAGTGAACATCACTGGGCTAGTTTTGAGGCAGAAGCTGAAAAGTTGCCCGGTATCTCGCTCTGACTTCTGGTCCATGTGCTTTTCCCTGTGCTGTCCCTCCTCTCCCACAGTGGTGGGGACATACAGCTCAAGTGCCTGAAGTGGCACCTTTACTGGGAGAGAATCCTGTGTCGTGCACTCAAAGGATAAAAGCAAAAAGAAATAAGCCAGAGTTATGCAGAATCAAACTAAATGTAGACTTTGGTGTTGCAGGAGTCCCTCAAAGCCTTTATGTTTCATTGTGGCGATCTTAATCAGGAGCAGCCGGCTGCCCAGTAAATGACTCTGCCACTTTGATTCTCTGCCGCTGTATTCTCTTTGATACAATAAACCTGCTGAACTTGATGGTGTAACATCTCACACAAATGTTCCTGGCCGCGTCCTCTCCTGAGTGGCTTACCTCCAAGCACGTCTCAGGGGTCCAGGCTTTGTCATTGTGAGACTCAACCCTCAGGGGTCCTTGCCTTCTGGGGAGAGAGAGCATGAAGCGTTGTGTGGACACTACAGCCAGCCACTGGAGGGTCATGTGGACACTTTGTAGACAGAGAGTGGCCATAGCATTCTTACATCCCAGAAACCCGAAGGCATAGATAGCGTGGCCCCACCCATGATGCAGCTAGTGCTAGAATATTGTCTTTGTGTGTGTCCATGAAGAAAATGAAGGGACTTGGAGAACACGTAGAAACGTCTCAGTCGTACTGTTTGACATCTATTACGTGTTCCACCTGCTGGACTCCTCAGGCTTGTGCTTTACATATGCTGGTGCCTTTGATGCAGCCAACAACTCTGTGGACAGCTACTATTACTATCATCTCCGTTTTACTAATTTGGAAGCCGAGGCTTAAAAGAGTGTAAATAACTTTCTCAGGAGCAGAATGCTGGCAAGACAGACCCAGGATTCAAATCCAAGTGTTACTAGTGCAGGGTTTCTCAACTTGGCACAATAGACACATTGGCCTGGATAACTCTGATGTGGGGCTGACCTGTGCATTGTAGAATGTTTAGCAACATCCCTGGCCTCTCTATGAGATGATCTGTGAACACTTTGGTGACAACTAAAAATGTTTCCAGACATTGCCAGACATCTTCTGGGAGGTAAAAATCCCCCCTGTTTGAGGACCACTGGTCTACCAGTGGAAGGCAGGAGACACAACAGATACTGTCATTGTTGCCACTGATACGAGACTTGTTAGGAAAGATTTCAAACAGTGACATCAGTCTCTGACCTAACCTGGAAAGGCAGGTGAGCTCAGTTTTCCTGCTTTCCAATGAGGAAGGCAAAGCCTGTCAATTCATTCCTTCACTCAGTCGATGTTTACTGATACCTACAAAGTACCAAACCCTGCTCCAGCCCCTGAGGATAAAACAGCACAAGATAAAAATAATAAAAATTCCTGTCCTCCCACACATTACATCTACAGACAATAGACAAACAAGTGAAGTATGCCGTATTGATAAAAACCATATGGGGAGGTGGAGGGGCTGGGGAGATGGGCATAGAAATGCCGGTAGAATTTAACATTGCATTTTAAAATAGATGGCCAGGGGCAGCCTCCCTGAGAAAGTGACGTTTCAGCAGAGACCTCTGAGAGGGGAGCAGTGGAGCCTTGCCAATGTCTAGGGAAAGAAGGGTACACGCGGAGCAGCAAGTGTTAAGGCTCTGGGCCTTCTCAGCAAGCATGGCCAGGGTGGAGTAGGGGATGGGAGATAGAACCCAAGGACAGGCAGGGGAAATCGTGTTTGTGATGTTCACTGTGGCTTGGTGGTTTGCTCAATGCCCTTTCTAATATCCGTGCCAAGATGTAACCTGGGACTCTGGGACTTCCTTCTCCAGCAGGATCAAACTGTACCGACCTCTTTCTCCTCTGCACGGGCCCTGTCCTAGAACACATCTCACCTGAGCCTATGACTCACTTGGGCTGGGCCGATGTTTGTGGGAGACAGGGAGGTGGGGAGGGCAGCTGGTGACTTATAAGTGGAGGAGGTCTGCTGGCCCCAAACCATGTCCTAAATGTCCTACGCTGCACACAGCCTCCTCTGAGTTGAAAACAGCATGGTGGTCCTGGTCCTGACCCTCTTTGGGGCAGCCTGTGTGTTCTCGCTGGTGGTCGTGCTGTGGGCCATTTGCAAGCATTTCCTCACCGCAGACATCCCTGCGGGGGTCGGCCACTCTGTGAAGCTGAGGGTTCTGGACTGCATTTTCATGGTGTTGCTGACATGGGTGAGTTCTGTCCTTTATTTGTCCCCTCCAGCTGAGGGTTAAGGAGGGAGAGAGGAAAGCCACACACCAGAAGTTTCTGGTGTCACATGGCCTGCAGTGTCGGCTGATGGCACACTCTCAAATTGGAACCACCCTATTGGGTGGGTCTTAGCCTCTTCTGGTGTTTCTGAAATTAGACTGGGCTAATAGCTGCAAAATTCAAAGCCTGATTTGCTTTCTCAGTTGACAGAAAGAAAAAGAAAAAAGTCTGGTTCTATCATCCTGCCTGTCTCTTGTTTGCCTTTCTATGTTTGATTTATTTTTAATGAAGTAAAATACACATATAGAATGTACCATCTTTACCATTTTTAAGTATACAGTTCAGTGGCAATAAATACCTTTATATTTTTCCTAGCACTTGCCACTCTGGAAAACCTTGGAGACAGGAACAAATTTTTCTGAATTATTGGGCCCCAGTTACTACTTACCTGCTAGCTGGAGCCAGCAAATCGCAAAATAAAGAAACAGGTAGCAAATCCTTAAATTAGTACAGGTGAGCACAACTACAGAACATGACTTAAAAAAAAAAAAACTTGTTGCCAGGTGCGGTGGCTCATGCCTGTAATCCCAGCACTTTGGGAGGCGGAGGTGAGAGGATTGCCTGAGTTCAGGGGTTCAAGACCAGCCTAAGCAACATGGCGAGACCCCTGTCTCTACAATAAATAAAAAATCAGCTGGGTGTGGTGGCGTTCACCTATAGTTCCAGCTACTTGGAAGGCTGAGGTGGAGGGATTGCCTGAGCCTAGCACGTCGAGGCTGCGGTGGCTGTGAGTGTACCCCTGCACTCCAGCCTGGGCAACAAAGTGAGACTCTGACTCAAAAAACGCAAACCAAACCAAACCAAAACAAAACAAAAAGAAAACTTGTTTTGCTTTTGAGAGATGACACACCACTTATATATAGTTGATATGGCTCCTTGTTCCTGGCATATGTAACTTATTAAAGTACATGTAAACAGATCATGATGAGAATTGAATAGGAGCTGTCATACTGATTTGTTGTGCTTTTCCAGAGGGTTGACAGAAATTGAATATACAAACTATCTTTCTTAAGTTTCTTACATAACAAAAACCGCGTACAAGTGCCAGTCATGAAGAACCCAGGAGCCCGAAGCTTCTTCCCTCCGGGGCTGCTTTTACAAGATGCAATGATTGGGTTGCATGGTTTCCCTGTCTTGACTCTCATAGTCTGTAGTCCAGGTTTCCAAATACAATGACTCAATCTCCTATTTGCAAGGTAGGGAAAAATAACAGCCCCTACTTCCTGGAATTTTGTGGGAATTCCATGAATTTGACTATCTGGGGGGCATATTCCAGCGCCCAGTGCAGAGGGAGCCTTCCATAAATGTAGGCTATTGTTATGTTTGTTGATTCATTTATTTTATGCAAAGACGTGTTATGCAAATGCCATATGTCAGTCTTCAGTTCTGAGCTCTAGCTTCAGTGATGGGCAGGAGAAAGAAAGTTCTGGACAGGGTTTGTCTTCAAGGGGCTTGTGGGTGTGGGAAGGCAGCTGCTAATGAGCAAACACAAAAGTCAAACTACGAATAAACAGCTTCACAGAGTGGCAAATACAACGAGGAAAGCAAAACTGGGCATCGGGCAGGGCAGGGCTTCTCACCTGGGGTTCCTTAAACCCCCATGGTGATAGAACACCAGGGGCCCATGAATTTAAATAGGGCCAAAATTACCCCATTTTTATGACTCACCTCAAATCGCAATCTAGCATTTTCTTCCGTGAGGAATGAAGGCAACAAGCACAGTTGTGACAGCAGGACTGCCACTTTGTCACCAAGAGGAGTCAGAGATGTTGGGACAGCACATTATATCAGTTGTAAATAGTGTGAAAAATCATGCCTTCTAAATCCTTTGAAAATAGAGTTGTAGTAGACTGGTGGCTAGATCTTGTTACTTAATGTGCTGATAAGGAAGCACATATGTTATTACATTACAATGTAATACTATTACTTACTGTAATATTTCTTTTTTTTTTTTTTGAGTTGGAGTCTCACTTCATCGCCCAGACTGGAATGCAGTGGCTGCTCCCGGCCACCTCAGCCTCGACCTACTGGGCTCCGGCGATCCTTCTACCTCAGCCTTCCAAGTAGCTGGAACTACAGGCGCGCGCTACCACACCCGGCTAATTTTT